AATTATATATATTACAAAAAGCCTACCTGGACTCTTGGGTTGTAACCATGACGCTCTTCTCTGCCTTGCGATGCGGATGGCCCAACGCCGCTGGGAAAGGAACTCTTAGATCCATATTCTGATGCTTGCGTATTTCCTCCCCCGAAACCTGGTCTTTCATTATAGCTCTGGTCTCTTCCATTAAAACCCTGGTCTCTTCCATTAAAACCCTGGTCTCTTCCATTAAAACCCTGGTCTCTTCCATTATAACTCTGGTCTCTTCCATTATAGCTCTGGTCTCTTCCATTAAAACCCTGGTCTCTTCCATTAAAACCCTGGTCTCTTCCATTAAAACCCTGGTCTCTTCCATTATAACCCTGGTCTCTTCCATTATAACCCTGGTCTCTTCCGTTATAGCCTGGGCTGGGATCCCTGCCGTTGTGACCTGGTCTGGGCTGTCCACCGTTGTAACCTGGGGCAGGACCCGGTTTGTTATAACCTGATGGAGGCGATCGTTGAGGGTATCCTGTCAGAGAATAAGCTCTATTGTAACCGACTGCAGAACGCTCTCGATTGTACCCGGGTACAAAATATACCGGTGCAAAATAACCTCGAACGATGAACACTTATACTGTATATATCTCAAACCGGACAGAGTTATGTTATCGTAACCTAGCTGTTTCACGTGTAAGTGTTTCCGTACTGCTGAAGCACACGGAAAATGAGAGAAAGTGGAGACGGCGAGTTTGCAACACACCTTGTTGATAACCCGGACGTGGTTGTGGTCCATAACTTCCGTACCCAGGTCCATAGCTCTGTACAATACACGGAAAATGATCACTCAGGGCGCCGATTATATCATGAAATTCCAGAAGATTTAATCGGTATAACATGCAACGGGTCGAAACGACATGAGCGTTGACATGTACAATCTCACATAGAGATCAACTTTTGCTATGCATGTGCAATTGCAATTGTGCATTGGCTTAATTCGCCAAGCGCACTATCTAAATACGTCATCGTTCGTGAACGTCATCGTACGTATCCATCGCCTGATAGCTGATATAATCAGAAGTCTATCAATAGATACCATTATAATGGGATCTATTGATAGACTCCTGATATAATCAGAGGCAAATAAGGCCAAATCGCCATTTGGCGTCATCATCATCGTCATCGTTCATCGCCGGATATAATTACACACACACACACACACACACACACACACACACACACACACACACACACACACACACACACACACACACACACACACACACACACACACACACACACACACACACACACACACACACACACACACACACACACGACATCCACGCGCGCGCGCGCGCCGCGCGACCGACCGACCGACCGACCGTACCGACCGACCGACGACCGACCGAC